TGACTATTCCTGATTATTGAATACTTCCCTCGATATTTAAAATTGGGAAATAGAGTCTACATTTTCGAACCATCTAAACTTTTATTGCAGGTCTCCGCTATGGGCAGCCCTCACCCACGTTCACACGTTGGCCCTCGACACGGAAAGCTGACCAGATGAGGAGGATGACCGTCATCCGGATCCAGTCATTCCTCACATAATTCCGTTGCCGTTCATTAAAGGACATTGAAAATAGATGAACCTATTTTTATACCCCTGTGTAGATGTAGCCGGTCACTAATAATTGATAAATGCAATTTGTATTTTTGCAATGTTTGTTCTACACATCAATTTGGAGATAGGAGAGTAGCGACATCGGATATATCTATTAAATATCCTCTCTATTCTCATATAGCAGTAGTCTGTCACTTAGAATGTACTAAGTACATGTAAAAAAAAAGAAAACGTTCTTTTTGGTGGAAAAACATTGTCTTTAGATATATTAAGTGTGCTCATCTAAAGGCGGTTTTGTCACAACTTTTTCTTGTAATATAACGTAATGTAATGTACATGTTATTGTCGTATTGTAAGTTTGGTTGCCTAACTTGCAATCACAAAGATCCGATAACTTATACAGGGTGTTCAAAAAGTTTGGAACCCCCCGCTATCTCAGAAAATACTGCTGAAACAAAAAAATGATTTGGACAAAAGCTGCAGGGTTTTGAGTGACCATGACCATGACCTTGAAGGTCATTTAGAGGTTTGACGTTACAGTTACCTTTAGGTCATAGTCAAAGACATGGTATAGGTCATTTTTTAATTTTACTCTCACTCAATTTCCGCAGTCAAGAATATCGGGTCATTTATTAAAAATCGACGACCTGTAAATGACCTCGAAGGTCATAGTCAAGGTCATATCCGAACGTAAATATTTTCATTTTTTCCATTTCCGGGGTCAAAAATTACGGTTCCATTTAAAATTTTCAGGTTAACCTCTGAATGACCTTGCGACCTCAAAACCCTGCAACTTTTATCCTAATCATTTTGTTTGAGCAGTATTTTCTGAGATAGAGGGAGGGTTCCAAACATTTTGAACACTCTGTATGTATTATTGTCAACAGTTTGGTTGCCTAACATTTGCTTCGATGAACTATGTCCATCTACTACTAAAAGCGGTTCCATATGTATCTGAACTTTAGAGCCTACTCTGTGTTCCGAGCATCTTATTTTGTTTCCGACTCATTCGGCAAGTTACTGTTGAGACCGCGCAAGGCCCATTGTTAATTATTTTATATATTTTATTTGTTATTTGGAGTGGGAACAATTGTTGGAAATTGAGAATATATTGTTATACGGAGCAGGAAGAATAGTCGCTTCTTTAACGTCATCGCATTGGCTATATCGAGAAAGAACCGACTTTTTTCTGCACCGGGAAGAGATGTCTTGTTCCCATTTCTTTTATTGTGAACTGTTAAGTTACATTAGTAAATACAGAAATTGTATTACTGTTCTATAAATAAAGGAAGATTTATTTATGTTTGTGTTGTCATTTTCAAAGCATTTACCTATAATTCTTCGTGGTCCTGTGCTCATTAATAGAGCACGTTTGTTGTCCTATTAAGTTGATAAAGAAAAAGTACAAAAAAACAGTTAATATTGATAAAATATGAAAAATTTGGTGAATTTTTATGCAACCAAGTATACAGTGATACTGTATTATATGTTGCCTACCCAACAAAAATTGAAATGAACAGAGAATTCCAATGAAGTATATAAAATTTTAGGAATATCATGCAGCCATATATACACGAACATTTTATTGTATGTTGCCTACCGAACAAAAACTTAACGGGAACTGAAAGGAAAATCTCGTAAACTGGAGAAGCTGAATGCAATTTTGTATTGGTCAGCGGAATTTATTCAGATTGTTCTGAACCCTAAAAATTTTTGAGAAAATCATCTATGAAAATTGTCAAAATTTTAAAGTGCTCATCTAAGGGCGGTACCGTACGCTCCTGGGGTCGCTGAACACGCTGGGATGGTCTGTTTTCCTACAAGTGCTTCCCTTGAGAAAAAAAATCAAAAATCTCGAAAACTGAATGAGCTAGAGAGGAACTGAATGCAGTTTTGGATTGGTCAGGGCTGTTATAGTTCACCGGATTTTTTTCAGATTTTCCTGAGCTCTAAAATTTTTGAGAAAATCGATAGACTATGAAAATTGTCGAAAAATTAAAGTGCTCATCTAAAAGCATTACCGTATGCATCTGGAGTCGCTGAACTCACTGGGATGGTCTGTTTTTGTGCAAGTGCTTCCCTTATAGAAAAAAATCGAAAATCTCCAAAAACTGAATGGGCTAAAGAAGAACTGAAGCAGTTTTGAATTGATCAGGGCTGTTATTGTCTACCGGAATTTTTTCCGATTTTTCTGAATCCTAAAAATTTTTTAAAAATCGTTGGACCATGAAAATTGTAAAAAAATTAAATTGTTCGTCTAAAGTCGGTTTTGTCTCAATGTTTTCTTGTAATACAATATTGTAATTGTTAATTTTTAATGCATTTACCTATAATCATTCACAGTTCTGTGTTCATTTATAGACGTCCTTTTTCCTATTAAGAGTATTAAGTTATAAAAAACATACAAGTAAAATTCTGACAACTTTAGTGAAATATAGAAAATTTTGTAGATTTTTATGCAACCAAGTATACAGCAATCTTGTATTATATGTTGCCTATCCAACAAAAATTGAAATGAGATTTTAGTAAAATATATAAAATTTTAGGAATTTTATACAACCAGGTATACACAAACGTGTATTGTATGTTGCCTATCGATCAAAAATCTAACTAAAATTGAAATCAATATTTCAAAAACTGGTGAAGCTAGAGAGGAACTGAATGCAATTTTGAAACCGTTATAATTCACCGGAATTTTATCAGATTTTTGTGAACCCTAAAAATTTTTGAGAAAATGGTGTATTAAAATTGTCAAAAGTTTAAGTGCTCATCTAAAGGCGGTACCCTACGTTGCTGGAGTCGCTGAACACGCTAGGATGGTCTGTTTTCATGCAAGTGCTTCCCTTAAGAAAAAAAATCAAAAATCTCGAAAACTGAATGAGCTAGAGAGGAACTGAATGCAATTTTGGATAGGCCAAGGACGATATAATTCACAGGAATTTTTTCAAATTTTTCTGAATTCTAAAACTTTTTGAGAAAATCGATGGACTTATAGTCCATGAAAATTGTCAACAAATTAAAGTGCTCGTCTAAGGCGTTACCGTACGCATCTGGAGTCGGTGATCGCGCTGGGATTATCTATTTTTCTGAAAGTGCTTCCCTTAAGGAAAAAAATCAAAAATCTCGATAACTGAATGAGCTAGAGAGGAACTAAATGCAATTTTGGATAGGCCAGGGCCGATATAATTCACGTGAAATTTTTCAAATTTTTCTGAATTCTAAAACTTTTTGAGAAAATCGATGGACTTATAGTCCATGAAAAAACTAAAGCGCTCATCTAAAAGCATTACCGTACGCACTTGGAGTCTCTGATCGCGCTGGGAATGTCTGTTTTTGTGAAAGTGCTTCCCTTATAGAAAAAATCGAAAAACTCCAAAAACAGAATGAGCTAGAGAAGTACTGAATTGAATTTTGAATTGATCAGGGCCGTTATTGTCTACCGGAATTTTTCCAGATTTTTGTGAGCCCTAAAAATATTTGAAAAAATTTATGGACCATGGAAATTAAATTGTTCATCTAAAGCCGGTTTTGTCTCAATATTTTCTTGTAATATAATAATGTAATTGTTTATTTTTAATGCATTTACCTATAAACCTTCACAGTTCTGTGCTCGTTAATAGACGTCCTTTTTCCTATTAAGTTATAAAAAACACAATTAAAAACCTAGATTTTAGTAAAATATAGAAAATTTTGTAAATTCTTATGCAACTAAGTATACTGTAATTTTGTATTATATGTTGCCTATCCAATAAAAATTGACAGATATAAGAATTTCAGCAAAATATATAAACTTTTACTAAATACTATGCAGCCAGGTATACACAAACGTTGTATTATATGTTGCCTATCGAATTTAAACTAAACATACAAAATGAGAAAAATGTCAAATCTCAAAAACTGATGGAGCTAGAAAGGAACTAAATGTAGTTTTGGATAGATTAAAGCCGTTATTAAAGTCTACAGGATTTTTTTTCAGATTTTTCTGAGACCTAAAAATTTTCGAAAATCGATGGGTCCATGAAAGTTGTCAAAAAACTGAATTGCTTATCTAAAGACGGTTTTGTCTCAACTTTTTCTTGTAATGTAATGTGTTTAGTTTTTAATGTATTTACCTATAATCCTTCACAGTTCTCTGCTTATGATGGCCTTTTTCCTATTAAGTTAAAAATTAACACATGAAGCAAAAATTTTACAAATTTTTATGCAACCAGGTATACATAAGTATGTATTGTATGTTGCCTATCGAACAAATACTTGAAATTAAAAAGAAAATGGAAAATTTTTTGAAGTTGAATTTGGTTGAATTGGACAGTTTTGAATTGGTCAGGGCCACTGGATTTATTTCAGATTTTTCTGAGCCTTAAAACCTCTTTAGAAAACTGATATTCGATAAAAATTTTCAAAAAATTAAAGTGAATTTTTAAAGGGGTCGCAATGTAAGGCATTGAAATTTGGTGTACGTAAGTTTTTGAAGGTGCTAAATATGCCAGTGTGATTAGTTTTTGACCATCGTCTAGAGGTCGTTAGCTACGTCCTTACCTGGTAACATTTTAAGACATAACTTCTTTGAGGTTAGGTTTTATGCAGTGTATGACAATGTAAAACATCAATAAGAAACCTCTGAACTTTTTGAGAAAAATACAACTGACTGTCTTAGTGTTTACCTTAAAACCATCCGAGATACCAAAATATATATAAAAAAATTACAAGACATTTTTATTAGATTTTATAACAAAAGTTTTAAAAAATAATACATTTAATGATTGGAATTAAAAAAAACAAGTTAGTAACATAAATTTTATATTGCGGGTTGTGCTCTGCAACTTCTATATACATTCTAGACTCGCATATAATGACATTTGTACATCCGGCGGAACCACCTTGCCTAAGTACTTGGAAATAAATAAAAAAATAACTCACTTAAGCAATCGTCTACCAACAATTTGAGAATCAGTCTATGTCACAGATTATATTAACGTAATAAATTTACAATTACACCTATTACATAGAAATACTATTGAAACGAATACCCGCCAGGCGGTTGTTGTTCGGAGAGTTGCGAGGGATCTTCCATGGGCGGTAATTGTGGTTGGAATTGTTCCGCAGAGAGCCTTGTGAATAATATCCCGACGCCTTCGATCAGGGCGAGTAAAACACCGCCAATAAATGCACTCCCAGCCATAGCTGGCAAACCATTTCTCGCCGCTAAGATACCACCAGTTGCAGCTCCGCTGATTATAGAATTCCAAGGGTCTTCCTTTTTCCTTATGTGAATCAGTGCACAGTCGATAGTGGAAAACATTCCTCCCCAAACAGCAAAATTGCCAGCGATAATAGGTGATCTTTGTTTTATAGCTGTTAAACTACCAATCTAAAAAGATATCCTTACACTAAAATAAGCTTGTCGATGGTTATTGACACACTTACAAGTCGTTTGTTAATGCCTGAAGGTGCGTTACGAAACCCTTTTATACATTGAAAGACGCCTCCTCCTATCAAACCCATAGTAAAAGCACCTCCACAATCATCTACTATTCGCCATGGACATGGTTCTCTTGTGTACTCTTCCATTTTTATTTAAGTCTCTGTACTTAACCTAGAAATATAGTTGACCAAGTAACTAAAAACTAACATAAATTTTTAAGTATTTGTGACTTACCTCGTATGAAACTGATCCTTTTTTTTATGTTATGGATGATTTTGTACATTAATTTTTAATATTCACCCTTACAAATTGTTATGCAAACGACAACGATGACGACCAGAAAGAAGAGGGGACAAAAGGGTAAACCACGGGGTGACTTTTGATGATGAAGTATTTAATTATTAATAAAAGGCATGGTTATTATTTTAACGAATTCTTAACAATTATTTGACTATCGTGGAATGAATGAAATGAAAATTTGACAAAGAAAATCAATGCGAACTGACAGACATATTTTAGGTTATAAAACGCGGCGGGATATTTAAAATCTAAATCCAGTAATTTCTTGAAAATCTAAAAATAAATGGTTTGGAGTCACCTACAGATCTAAAAATATGCCTTTTGCTCTACTTTCATACCACAACCACGTAGTTTCATTAGTTTTCTCTTATATTTGGAAGAAATGGCCGAAGCTCAAGGCAGCAGTCCTCAGGTAAAGTTTAATAGTAGAAATTGTTTTCAAAACCTTTAACAATTTTATTTTAGGGACAAGATGTGGCAGCCAAGTTAGCAGAATATGAAAAAAAGTTTCAAGTACGTATATACCCTACGCATTTTTTACAACGTTCTAAAATTAGGAAACATTGTGATATGACTTCGGTGGAGACTGTACAAAATATTTGGAAAACATGTATTACTACACGTCAGACATTGAATTCTATATGTATTTCTTCAGTTTCATATTGAATTGAAGGAAAGTACTGTTTATAGAGGAATTAAAATATTTTTTTACAGGAAAAAGATAAGGAAATAGAAAACTACAAAAAACGCGTCGCACAATTAGAAGATGAGCTAGCGAAAGCCCAAAAGCTCATACTCCAAAGCGTCAAGGAATCCGAAGAAGTGGATGCTCTAAAATCGGAATCCGAGAAAACTTTAACCAAAGCAAAGAGCATTATCTTCGAAAGGACAAAAGTCATCAAAAACCAGGAACTACAGATCGAAGCCTACAATCAACAAATCGAATCCCTAAAAGACGTCATACGTATAACCAAAGACCTACTCGAAATCCGTAATTTAGAAGTTAAGCAACTGGAGGGCAAAATCAACTGCATGGAAGAGAGAATGAAAGGTGAAAAGGAACGTCAAGACCTCTTGCATAAAAAATTAGAAACTATGATTCGGCACAACGGGGAGTTAAAAAGGGAGTACGAAACGCAGCTTTGCTTATTTTCCGCTTTACGTGAAAGGTACAATGAGAGGGAGCTCGCGAGAGGCGTTGTCGACACCATGACGGGTAGACAAACTAGTCAAATTCCGCCTGCTATAAACGGAGAGGAAAATGCAACCACTGAAGTGGTTAAGGAAGATAGTAAGCCCGATGAAGCACAAGCTGCGGAACCTCTCGATAGTAACAGCCCAGAAAAGAGTGCTGATCAACCTAGCACTAGTTCAGAAAGCACCGATCAACCGCCAGAGGCCAAATAGGGATCCATTTCTTGAAATGTGGTTTTTATAAGTCTGTTTTATAAAATTAACTGGTTTTTAAGCGACTAATATATTATACATAAAGAAGCATATGTTTTATTTCAATTCTTTTCTATATGCATATTCTCCCTTAAAAAAACAAATAATCTTCATTCTATACACTTTGTTTAAAAAGTTTAGAATGTGTTTTTGATGAATGAGGGCGATTAATTTAAAAATTGCTTCTTGTGTGATACAAAGTGGCCCGTTATAAAAACCAGAGCACCCCCTAAAATTTTATAGTACTGGTATTCGCAGTTAAAAAAGCAAACTGTCTTTTCATCACAACAAAATAAGAAAATAGAAAAATAAACTACTTGACTTAGATATTTGTTCATTAATTTTCAAAGTAAAAGACAACACATTTCTATAATGAAAATTAAAGAACTGATGATTACCTAAAATTAAACCAGAAATTTTTCCGTTTGCTACAAAAAAAAAAACAGGACAAAGTATAGTGGACAATATGCCATTTACGGCCACAAATATTCACCTCTTTTTATGTAGTACGTAACTCGGAAACGATTCCAGAAGTCCTCAATAAGTTTTAACAGTATTTTGTACTTAAACCAAGTAAACTGACATTCTATTTTTTAAATTTTCTAATACTGTTAAGTCTCAAGACCAAGATCTCATCAAAATATGATTAATCAATTTTCATCAGACGCCACCATACTGTATCATTTTTTTTGCAATATTCTACGTGTCAAGAATCTCCAAATTAAAAAAATGACTACCAGAACTATCTAAGGATATTAAATGAAAAACTCGGATTTGTTTTAAAACCTGTAAATATATTATTTATAACGTAAATGATATGGTTCCTCTATTACAAAAAATATTTATACCAGTGTATTCCAGCGCTTTTTGACAAAACAACTTCATTGCAGGTATGTAAATGGTCAAAACACAAATAGAAAAATATAACTTATTTATTGCTATGGAACATACAATCATCGTGAAGAACAAAAAACTTTCCTTCTGCTAGAGTGGTAGATATATATTTTTTTACATACTGTAACGTAAAACTATTTATAGTTCCACTTTCATCACTGATATTCAATTTACGTAAATGAAATCTCAAATCTGTTCATGACCCAGAATTCACTATAAAGGGTGTTGCAATCGAAAAACATAATTTTGATAATATTTCGAAAACAATAATCATTAATTCAGTTTTGTGCCTGAAAATGTCTTTTGAAGTAATGCGAAATAAAGTTTAAAAAAACAAAACGGAACGAGATGTTTTCTAAAAGGAAAAGTAAAGACAAACAAAAATTCATTTCATTTATGGTATTTTCTCAGCAGAAACACTCTTTATTGTGTTACTGATTTCGTTCTTTGAAATAGCGTTCATCTGCATCTCGTTCTCAATTTTGCTGTCGATAGAACCATTTCTTATAAGAGTTGATCCAAAAATGAGAACAAAACTTAAATGTTCCTTTCTGATACTTAAATTCAGTTTTGTTCCTGAAAATTTGTTCTGAAGTAATGCAGAATAAAGTTTAAAAAAACGAAACAGGACGAAATATTTTCTAAATGGAAAAATTAATGACGAACAAAACTTCACTTCATTCATGCTGTTTTCTCAGCAGAAACACTCTTTATTGTGTTACTGATTTCATTCTTTGCAGTAGCATTCATCTGCATTTCGTTCTTTATTTTGCTGTCGACAGAACCATGTCTAATAAGAGTTGATCCAAAACTTAGAACGAAACTTAAATGTTATTTTGATACTTAAATTCAGCTCTGTTCCTGAAAATTTGTTCTTAAGTAATTCAGATTAGTTTAAAAAAACGAAAGAGAACGAAACGTTTTCTAAATCTAAATGGAAAAATTAAAAAGGAACAAAAATTCATTTAATTCATGCTATTTTCTCAGCAGAAACACTCTTTATTGTGTTACTGATTTCGTTTTTTTCAGTAGCGTTCATCTGCATCTCGTTCTCAATTTTGCTGGCGATAGAATCATTTCTAATAGAGTAACCAAAAATGAGAAACAAAGTTTCAGAAACAAAATATAATGCATTGTTCTTTAAAAAAAAAAACTCAGAACATGCAAAAATTTATTTCGTTCCTGATTTCGTTTTTTAGGCACAAAGTGAACGAAAATAACGAAACTTAATTACTAACCTCTGGTGAAAAAACTAATATTTCACGAAATTTGACATGTATCAGCAATGAAGTGTTTATCAACGGTAGGAGTCATTGTACAGCTATTGAACCAACGAAAAGTATACGATGATATAAAAATATGAAGAACAAAATGATTATCATTAGTATTCATATTTATTGTACCTATTTCTGTATTTGAACTTTGGAATGATTAACTAGACTTTGGCACAAAATCCTATAAAAAACGATCTGGCTAGTTCAATAGATTTATTCATTTAATGTTAAATTTTTTACGTTACCTGTACCCCAACCGAACGTAACAATTGTCCTCACTACGAACGTCGTAATATTTACAGTCCTACCTAACGTGTCACACACCAAACAACGAAAAGAAAGTCTTTATGGAGTAGAAAAGAGTATTGTGCAATCGAATGAAATTTTCCTAATGTGGCAGTGAATGTTATGCTGGTCGCGAGGATATGTTTGGCAAAATGTCACACGAGCACTTCCATCTTGTTCCCTTTGCGGAGCACACGGATCTGGCCCGGCTGCACCTCGGGCAGGCCACACTTAAAGGTGAATGTGATGGTTTGAGAGCCGAAATTGGCCTCGAATCTGACAAAAGAACACGTATGTTACTGTCACTCACAAGCAGAGAGAAATAAAAAGCAATATACGCTTGCCGATTCCAATTTTAAACAAAACTATAACAAAGCAAAATTAGACATATTTTTTAAAAGGGAAAAATTTTATTGAAAAAAAATTATAGAAGCCCTATTAATTTTCATCGGAGAATCACCCCTTACATTTTTTCGGTGTTATTTAGATACACCCTGTATATATTTGGCATTTTTTTATAAACAACATTTAATACGACTAAATTACCAAATCATTTTGAGCAAGTGAAAAAAAATAAATAAATAGACTTTTGCATATAGATTTTATTATATTTCTAAAGAACTTACTCTGTGGTGATGTTGACTTCGGGCGGCTTCCCGGTGGCGTTCTGGACGACCAGGAACAGCTTGGTGACAATTTCGATGACGTGGCCCGTCTGGAAGACAAAATCGCCTTTCTTCTTGCTCAGGTCGCTCTGAAATAAGCAGCCCGTCTGGTCAGACGTGGCACTAGACGTCTCTGGGTTTGCTAACGAGGACTGTGGGAAAAAACTAGCACTAGCACCCTATACTAAGTATGCTAAAACTAATTATTCTTTCTGTTGGATCCGTTAGGACTTAGAGCTAAATCTACATTTGCGAAATAAACTAATTTAATAACCTATACTCGTTCTATACATATAAAAAATGTGTTTTTTTTATTCATCCATGACCCAATAAATTGATTAAAAAATCGTTCATATTATATTGATGAGTGTAATACATAAAAAACTCCATTGCGGTAAATTTCCCAGCTCTATAAATTCACTTTCATGATTTTTAGTGACTGAATACTTGATAGTACTAATTTCAGTTATAACGAATTGTGCCAATTTCTCAAACAAATGATTGGATGAATTGAAAATGGTAAAATAAGTTTTGTTGACCAAAAAACTAAATAGTTGAAATGTTTGTGCGTCTTTTGGAAATGAGGCAAATCCTGGCGAAATTCGTCTCCCACTTCTTAACTTTTGATCAAAAGGCTAGTGTCGTTGCTTGTCATGACTTTTTGGACCACTTGGAAGTGGTATATCCATACTGCTACGGCTTATAAGCTATTGATTACAGGATTTTAAAAGGAACTATGACGTTCAAGATATTTTATTACATGAATCATTCAAATGGTCATTTTCGATGAAAAAACCTCGGTGTGCTATTAAATTAGAGGGTGGAAATTGGAGATAGGGGTGGAAATGCACCCCTTTCAGTTTTTTAATTGTAGCTCGAAAATGAAGTAAAATTTCGCTATAGTTCATAGGAAAAATTATTTAGGGAATTGAATTTCCCATCGAAATGGCTTATTTAAAAAACTTAAAAGGAAAATTTTATGCAAAAAAATCGTCAATAAACAATTTGAAAAATAGCAAACAATTCGATTTTATTTTTTTACTTTTTTTGCCTCTAATTTTTTTTGGTAGAGATAGGTATAGGCATTGCTTCATAGAAAAAAAGTAGATAAAATTTCCTTCAAAATAAGAAGTTGTAAAGTATTTTTGGATGAAAATTAACTGATATATGACCTCTCAATCTTACAATTAGCCAATTTTTCAATTTTCGTCGTGTTTACCCTTATACGTTTTAATTCTCATTTTTTGCAAAAAAATTAAGGAAATAAGACGATCAAGGATTTTCATCACATGACTTGTTCGAAGGGTCATTAAAAATGAAAAAATCGCGGGGTGCTATTAAATTAGAGGGTTGAAATTGAAGATATTTGTGAAAATGCACTTTTGCAGTTTTTTAACGAAAACGAAGCAAAATTTCGGTACAGTTCTTAGGAAAAATTTTGTAGAGAATTGAATTTCCCATCAAAATGGTTTATTTAAAAAATTTAAAAAAAAATTAAGTATGCAAAAATCGTTAATTGTGAAAAAAGCAAAAATATTTTTTTTTACTTTTTTGACAAATTTTTTTCTTAGTAGAAGTAGGCACAGAAAATTGTTGTACAAAAAAAACTAGATAAGATTCCCTCCTAAATGTATTTTCATAAGCTTTTGGACTAATATTGACGGAGTTATAACCGGTCAAACTTAAATATTTTTTAGATTTTAGTTGTTTTTAACATAATAATGATTATAATTCTTATTATTTTTACAACAAATTAGTTCTTTACTTAATAAAATATTATTTCAATAATAAATATAGATTTTCACAACTTAAAGTTAAAAAAGTGTAAAAAAATTAAAAAATCTTATTTTTTGCTTTTTTTACAATTATTGTTTATTAACGATTTTTGCATACTTAATTTTTTTTTTTAATTTTTTAAATAAGCCATTTCAATGGAAATTTCAATTCTCTACAAAATTTTTCCTATGAACTGTACCGAAATTTCGCTTGGTTTTCTTGCTATACAGGGTGAGTCTTTAATAAGGTACACAGCTTAATGGCAGATTGCTAACGTCAAAATATAGTTATTGAGTTAAACATGCCTTAGTCAATTGTAGCTCCTTTTCGTTCTACAGGGTGTTAAAGTTAAAAATATATTTTTGATTTTTTGCTATATTTTAAGTATGTATGGACCGACTGTTTTGAAAGTTTGTAGATTTACGTTTTTTGAGAAGGCAAATACGAATATGCAAACAGTGTTGGTATCGTGTCTAGGGGGCGCTAGTTATATTGTCCTAATAATGTAGAAATATGTGTAACTTTTAATATTTTACAATTTTGAATTTTTTAACTAGAAATTATTGAACTACGTTCAATTATAAATAAAATTAGTTTTAAGTTTTTGAGATTCGAGAATATAAGAAAAACAACAATAAATGGCATAAAAAATAGGACTCACCGCTCTGACATGAACGACCGCCACATCGTCAAGGAAAGGGGACAATGACATCCTATAAATTTCGGTAGCAGGCACACGGTATTTGATTTGCAGCGTTCGTTGATCCAGGACTAACATCGACCTCGTCGATATCACCAGAAGTATAGGAACAAACTAAATAAAAAAAATTACGCTCAAAATCGGACCGCGTTTTTAAAAAACGACTTACTTTTCCACTGGATCTAGTAATTTTGTTAATAATATCAGCAAATACTACGTATTGGTCGTTACTCTCCAGACACATTTTCTTCCACTGAATATTTTGCCGTAAACGAACATAATCCCCAAGAAACGGATGAGAAACACTGAAAAACCAACGTCTTTCAATAAAAATGACAACTTCTCAATTACCGCCATAGTACCTTCTAGGATATGAGCATTTTCTGTCTTTAAAAATAAAACTAGCCGTAACTTTCTCCCGCATGCGGTTCCTAGCGGTTTGGTCGAATTTAAGCCTAAATTTATGGCACCTCCAGCGATGGTGTATCTTCCTAAGTAAATTACTACATTCTACCAGTTTATTGTGGGGCTCGGGCCACTCCCTGCAGATCGGAGAATCTGCGTCAGCTGGCAACACCCGGCACAGATGCAGCAGAAACTGACGCCTCTACAAAGTGTTCGTTTTAAGACAATTTAAATTAATAAAATGCGGGAAGTGTACCTTCCACTGTACATAGTGCCTTTGGATTACCCTGGCGGCCCATTCGACTTGTTTTCGGTGTTTCAAGATCCGGTATTCTTCTCGCGCCTGGGAATATTAAATAATTAAAGTTATTTCATAAAATTTAAGCTCTAAGTAAACGGATCTGGCAGTAAATGTTACTTTTAAAAATACAACTATTGTAGCAGGGGGAACAAAGTACAAAAGATGGCAAATTATAGCGATTAAAGGCTTTTTTGATGATTTGTTTACGATAAACATTGACAAACTGTTACACCTAACGTCTAAGTAATTATCTTTAAGGAGTTTCCAACAAAATTTCGTTCCTTGAAAACAAAGTTTTTTTTCATCTATGCAATTTTTTTCAGCAATGTAAAGTTTCTTCAATTACTACAGTATTACGCAAACTAGCTTAATTTGCTCATACCACGTGATATAAGCACCAAAGGTGCTTGCGACCTTGAAACGGTATTCCAAATTTCAATTCCTAAAATCACAAATAACAATTACCAACGTCTACTTAAACAAAAATAATCCCACTCTTCCAAATAAACCCTTGCCACATGATAATCACACTTACCCTCCAACTTCTCCAAGCTGAGGATATGATCATCTGGCTGTGCCTCATCTTCTGATACCTCTTCTTCTGCCTGTACCCCCTCCAGATCTTCTGTATCAGCAACGCCAAATCGTGTAACCTAACCCTCCGAAAATCCTCTAGCTCGAACACGGTCCTGGGACTCCTAACGAACAATTTGGTTCTTCCAAAAGTGAACTCGGCGCTGGGTATCGGCAGCGATCTCAACAGGAGAGAAACGCCCTCTATGGGGGAACCTCGCCACCTGGGCCACGTATTACCGCAGATCATTTTGTAACGGCAGAGAAATTGGATGAAGGGCAGCCGATAGCAGTGGCCGGTTCGCCACATCTGGACCGTGGCGACTAAGCCCAAATAACGTACCTGAAACGGTTTTTAACTGGGTTGTGGGAAAGAAAAAATCACAGATGCAATATTCAGGGAGTTACATTTAAAAACAAAGAGTATTTTGAATATATAACACTATGTAAAATTTTCTGATTTGATGTAAATACACTCAAAATTAACGCACCATTATAAATTTACCGAAATTTTGTTGCTACTTTTTTCGTTACCTGGAGTCCGATGTCAACGATTTTTTTTTTGCATTGTAGGTTTATTTCTTGACAATGTCACTATACTGCTTGTTTTTGATAAAACGTTAATTTTCAGTTTATACCGCGCATAATAAAAATAGTGTTTTTTTTTTCGTAAATTTGCAACACCCTGTGGGTATACCAGTAACTCTAACATATCGCAATTCAAATCAAATTGTAGCCCCATCTTTCCTTAACATTTTGTTTTTTTATTCACGTTATTATCTCTACTATTAAAGGAGATACGCCCCCTCTCAGCTCAATGTGTTTTTATTCATCTTGCTATCGCATACAGTCGTGTTTAAATCAAGTTACCTTATTATTGACCGATTTACTGCAATATTATAACAAATCGTAGACGGCTTATGTCATGATGAATTAAAGCTTGACAGTTTCAAAACCTTTGTTGGCAATGGTCAGAAGTCTTAAGTTAAAACCTTTAAAATTTAAAAACGTGATTCGACCACGTAATTATGTGGCCAATCTGTTAAATGTTATCCATTCCAGGATTGTACTCTAGAAGACAAGGACAGGGAAGAAAGAAATTGACGAGTCCAAGGGATGAGCGTTTTATCCGTCAAATTGTTTTGAGGAACAGAAAAAGCACAATTAAGGAGATTAGCAATGAACTTCAAAATGTAAGAAATGTTATGATTTCTGCTCCGACTGTCAGAAGACGTTTAAAGGAAGCAGTAGGAGGCCTGCAATTAGACCACTGCTTACCGCAGCACATAAAGTAGCCCGATTAAGATTTGCTAGAAATCATGCAAATTGGACTGTCGACGACTGGAAACAAATTTTGTTTTCTGATGAGGCCAGGGTAAGCTTGAAATCTTTAGATGGTTGTGAAAGGGTATGGCGACCACCTGGAAAAAGATTTGCTACCTGTAACATCGTGTCGAAGGAACCATTTGGTGGTGGGTCTAGAATGTTTTGGGGAGGTATTTGCTATAATGCCCGTACAAAGTTAGTACAATTGGTCCAAGGTCAATGAATGCACTATTTTACTTGGAAAATATTGTTCAAGATCACGTAATGCCTTTTGCCCCGTTTATAGGGAATCGGGAAAAATCATTGACATCGTACTCCAGGTTACGAAAAAAAGTAGCAACAAAATTTCGGTAAAATTTATAATCATGCGTTCATTTTGAACAGGAGTTTATGTAACAATGGCAACTTTTACTCCTCAAGAACACTGACACGATTTTTGCACGAATCTTTTTATATTAGGAATAGTCATGTTTAAAACCAAGTAAATCCACACCACTTGAAGCACAATGCCGGAGAACCATATTGGTAAGCAGCAATCTAATAAGCTATGCATATTTAACATTTTTGGAAGACTTACAGAGGCCCAGTTGATGCACAACAGAACACCTTTGCATTTCAGTAAAGTTCATGGCTTTGTGAATATGAATCTAGCAAATCAGTAGCAGATCTAGTGCAAGCCGTCAGCAATGCCACAAACATAATTCATGAGCAACAAAACAAATGTCATTGCATAAGTGAGCAGGGTGGTGCTCAAACTTTCACAAACTGAGTCATCCGATGTCATAATTCAAAATAAATTATTATGTACCTCTTTTTTTGTATCCAAAACAATAAAAAATACAAATTAAATATTTTGCGGAATCTTTAAAAAATATGTGAAACGAATTTAGGTCTTAAATATTCGCACGGTTTTAAACACTATAAATATCAGATTAATTGGACCCTACCTGGTGCTGTATTAAGGCCATCTCGAATATTCTAGGCTGCTTCAGCTCGTTGGGCTTCAAGCATCTGATGTAGTGCACCTGCCGACCACCGAGGCCCTTTAAAAGGGCATTTAAGGAGATTTGCATTTGCACAGATTTGGAAATGGGTCGTTTCACGTTGCACCTCTTAGGATTCCCCTCGGGAAATAGCGACTGCATTATGGAGTGGTCGCAGCGATACATCGCCCTCGAAACTTCTCTGGGTAAGGTGTCGCGATTTTTTTCCACGAACCCCTTCGCGTTATATGTCACTATACCCGCGTAATGTCTAATTCTGAAACATAAAATTATTCGGTAATAAAAAAAAAATTATTTACAGGGTGTCCCAATAAAACTTACTGAAAACTATGCGATGGCAGTGTGGCATCGGCTGCTAAACAATGTGAATGACCAGCACAACACTGTTCTACTCTACAGAGATATGCAGCATCACTTTGAACGTGAGGTTCCTCTAACAATGGCAGTACGCCATGGCTTTCGTGTTCTAACAATTGACATATTACTCTAAAACAGAGTGAAATTATCATCATTAAAAGGAAAAATAATGTCTAGCTCATTCTAATTACAAGGATTAGCCCGAAAATTTAGTTCTTGTGCGGAAGCGGGGATAGCGCATCAGTATAAATTTATTGTTTTTGAGATTCAAGAAGTCAAAGTTAAAAAAACTCAAAAATTGTTTTGGGTCGCACAATTCACTCAAAACTTACATATTATTAAAATACTCTACTTTAGTCCACTCTAGGCCTTCCCTAATAAGTTCCTCTTGTTCCTCTTTCAAAGTGGCGGCAGTAATAAACTGGTGTAGCTTTTCGTTACAATAATTTATCATGAGTTGCTCGAAACCGTTATCTTCGAACACCTCGAATCCGTACAAGTCTAAAACACCCAATACTTTCCGTTTGCCTAACGTTTTTGCCTGGAAAAATAAACTTGTGATTTTGATGACACATTTACGGTAACTAAATGTTACCTTAATTACATCGTTAATTTTATTAATCAGCCACGTGAATAGGCGACTATACAAAGTTTTACATAATATATCCCTGATTTTCGCCGCATCAGTCGCATTCAGGTCCGTCATTATACCGTCTTCGACTTGACGGGTTGTTAGTGCCCTTTGTAACCAACTGTGCTCTACCCCCAACAATTCACACACCTCAAACAGCTCTAAAAAAGATAAAAACCGAATATACACAGATTTTTCATCATTTTAATGATTGTTTGAACTAACTTTACCACCTAGATTACCAAGGCATCACAATTAAAAATTTTTTTAAAGCACTGTGTTTGGTTTGTGAATCTCTGTAACAATGGCCGTTGACAATGACCTTGTTTAATTCAATTACATATCAATACACATGATGTGATATGACAACAGGGCACCAGGTTGATGCCTTGATAACCTCGATGACAATGGTATGAGCCTTACCGTAGTCGTTATTAATCGAACACCCCTCTGTACCGTCTATATTATTACAAGGCACATACTGCAAATTACCTAATTTCAAAACAATTGCTATAACGCGAAAAATATCGATAATGTCGCTATTCGTAAATCCTAGAACTTCCAGTGCACCTTTCGTGTAAACAAATAACTTTTTATCTTCTTCTTCGGACAAGGTGGGTTGATTGGTTTCCGTTTGCAAAATGGTGTACTGTTCGACGTTGCGATGCAATTTCAAACATTCTGAAATTCGCAGGCGTCATTAAATAGTAGACAAATTATGCATTTTTTTGCTTACTCAGTAAATGAATGTCAGCTCCCGACAAGAGCTGGTAAAAAATGTGAAAATTTCTATCACAAGAAGCCAAATTTGTAACTCTCGACTAAAAACAGAATAAAAACGTTTAAAAGTTATAATATTTTACATTTACCAATTTTTGATGCTATAAACTAATCAAGAAGTTTTATTATGGTAAATTGCTTAGTTTTAATGTCAACAATATTAATTCAACATTATTAATAAATTCCAACAAAAAATTATCTTGCATTTATGATTTTGGACATACCTTGTCAAGAAAATCTGATGCATGAAAATAATTAATAACAATCATGTATTACAAAAAGAATAAAGCAAAATTATTGCACTTACAGTGTGTTAAGTGACCCCCTATCGGATCTCCCTTGAAATCGAACTCAATATCTAGAAATTTGCCCTAAAAATTAAATATTAATTATATCTAAATATATATGCATTACCGCTTACAAATCGAGAGGCATTGTCGTTTTTCATAGTTCGAGCATTCCCAAACGCTTCCAAGAGTGTATTAGCTTGTACTAAACGATCTTTAACAAGTTTTGTATCTGAACTATTTCCAGACACTAATACTAAAAACTGTAAAACTATTCTAGCAGCCTCCGTTTTTCCTGCACCACTTTCACCTAAAACATATCACAGTTTCCCTCACACTATTATAATGATAATGTAAATAAACTATCTAAATAAAGAAATGAAACCTCTTACCTGTTACGATAATACATTGGTCCTCGTTTCTGTCATTAAGCCATCGATAAGCTGACCCAGCAATAGCATATCTGAAAAGGAAATAAGCATAGGTAAATGTGTAGGGAAAGAAATTTCTGATACCTACATGTGTGGCGGCAGCTGGAATGGTCCTCTCTCAACATAGGCTTCAACTAAATCAGCAGAATAAAGAGCCAATTTCTTGTAGGGATTTACTGAAACTAATACATTGCCGATATAGGTATAGATGTGATCTCTCTTAAAACGCTGTTGTAGATTAGCAATGAAACTGTCCTCAGTTAAGGGTTCGAGAAGAACAGAATCCCAGGCTCCAATTTCCTGCTCAAGGCTGAGCATCGCACCGCCCCTGGAGTGAATGCCGCCCTGGCGGCATCTAGTCTTCAGGCTTCTTTTCACGGTGCCCCCAAAAATTTTGTCATAGGAATCAAAATGTGCATAGATTGGTGAGGAAAATGAGAAGGTGCTTCTTCGGATACAAGTACATTATAAAGTTTCGGAGTGGGGTATCAGTTTTAATTTTAACACATTATTAATTAAGTTAAGAAATTAATGTCCAATACTAAAAATCAACTTGACATAATCACTTGTCATTTTTGACATTTACGACAATCCCCCTAAATATAAAAAGCAAATAAAAATTGTGGGTAGATCATATAATTTTCATTGGACCGAATTTCCATTTCTTAAAAGCCATGGACGAAGCACGCATACGTCGACAATGTAGACGAGTGATAGAGAGAGAAATATACTGTTCGGTTACTATCTCTCTCTCTCGCACAGGCACGTGATTGGCTGTAGTATATGCTCAACGACTAGAGAAAGAGCAAGCCCAACAAGGCTCTTTCCCTCTACGCTGTTATTTGTCTAAAAAAAATCAAAATTCGCCATATCCGTAATCCACAGAACAGAAAATAACTGGTTGAACTGACTGAGAGCACTGAGTTTTCTCCGACTCCATTCTGTCCAGGAATTTATAGTTCGTCGTACCGTCACCGAGGGCGCCGTTATAGTGCTTGGACTGCTTGGTACCAACTGTTCACTGGGGGATTGATATCTAGTCTAGTGGATTAGTCTCTCTGTTACTGCCATTTTGAATTGAAATTATAGTTTCTCTGTTTTAAAACTTTAAATTTTTATGTTTAAAAGGGGTACCTACGCGTTATTTATATAGACTGAACTCGGTGATTGTGCTTGTACATACACGTGTTGTATACATAATTTGATTGTATATGAAGTAGAGGAGAGTATCTTGGAAATTGAATTACCTACCTATAAGATTCTATCTATAGGCTTTTCTTCCGCAAATAGGCATTGGTGTTAAAGTTAAAAGTAATCAATAAAATATAAGTTACTATTATTTTTATTTTTATCGATATTTATTTTTATATCATACATATCACTATCAGTGCATTTTATGAGCAATCGCTTTTAATACTCATATACAGGGTGGTCCAAGATTAGGTACTTAACTAGGTAATTAAACTTAAAACATTTTACCAGATAATTAAAATATGAAAAAGAGCTTAAAAGGACTGACCATATCTTCGCTTTCTCCGATAAATCTCTGAGGATATTTCAACGTAGAGAGAACACTAAGGTGTAACAATTTACTTAATTAAAGGAAATAAATATGCCACCTGCAGTTATGGTGAACCACTTCCTACAGAGTTTTCGATCAAGACAAATAGATGAAATTGAACCAACAATCTCTTATCATTTTAGGAAATGGGAAAATAAGGGATATAAGTAAATTACAAACATTTTTTGATAATATGGTTAAATATATTATTTGGTAACTGTGTGTCCAGAATAAGACACATCGTGCAGAACACAAAAACTCGTCACTAGTATCTACCACATATATAAGCCACAGAGGTATTGTCTAGAAACGTCTATGTACATTGTGGTTTCAGATTAAACTTCCATTTTACAACTAAACAATTTTATAACTAAAAAGACTAGCTTTAGGTACCTGAAGTGTTTGAATTGTACTGTACTCAATATACATTGAGTAAATGTAATATCCTCACTCATCTAACATCTATGTAAAATTTTGTCAACCTTTTGTTTAATATGTTAACATATATTAGAAACATTGTTTACAATTCCCACAAAGGTACCTATATACTTATCTGCTAATTTAAAATAAAAAGTGAATAAAAAAAATAAAATTGCATCTTATCTTTGCAAAAAGTTACAAATTTGAACTAAGCCATATATACTGTAAAATAAATGTAATTGCTGTAACTGTTGAATATATTTCATTATTACACAGCTTATTTGAAATATGTACCCACAGTTAAAATGGTCATATGAGAAACGAAGGTGAAATTTTATTGATGAGAAATAGATGACGTTTTAGCAAATTTTACGGTTAAAAAAACATAATTAAATGGAGAGTAAAATAATAATAAATGAATAGGTATAGCCAGTATTATATAGGTATATGTAGCTGCATTCTATTAATTTACTACTTTCTGCAAATATAAGATGAAAAGCCCCGTTAAATTTTCTATAAAATACCTACTTTACTTTCTTTAGTACACGCACAAACAATGGTTTACCTGTTAGTTTTGATATTTTCTAGAAAATTGTTTTTTGGACTTCTACAATGTTAAGAAATATTTGGAACTATTTACATCATTCTACGAATAATAGGAAAATGATCTAAACCGAGCCTAGAAAATAAATTACAAAAATAACAAAACATAAACGATTTAATAGCACAAAACAATTTTATAAAAATTAAACGTATAACACAAGTCATATGGCAGGTTAATACAATTACTGTTACACTCAGAGAAAAAATTGAAACGATTTTTCGTTACTTGTACATCAAATACCGATAAAATAAGTTTTATAAGGCACTATACAGATTACACGTAGCTTTCGTTTTGAGTCGAATAGGCTAAAAATGAGTCGAGTAATTTCGGCTCCACCAGCTCTTGAGCGTCTTGAGCACTTAAGACGTCTGCACCACATGCATCCGCGATTTTCCTAAGTGTAGCCTGGAATAACAAAATTAAGCAAGATAAGGTCCAAGTGGTCCAATGGATGTTAAATGAAGGTGATAAATATATTCATATACCTCTTTTTCTTTTATGACAGGATGATAATTCAATAAAGATTGGTTATTTATATATCGTTCACAATTTTAAAAATGGCATGGCAAATCTAAAAAATTTTTAAGTTGTACTTTGGCGCCCAAAGTTGTACAGTTTAGCCAACATTATGGTATACAAAATAAAATGGTCCCAAACAACACTGATCACTACTGACGGTAGTCAGATTACGAATGAAAATATTATGTTTACAGAAAATATGTCACAACATAGTGCTATTACCAAAGAGTAAGGTTAAGTAAAGGATAAAATACCTCCACCTACATCGTATATATATTTTTTTCAAAACGCGAGTCAGCTGTGAAGGCCACCACCCCCGCGCCGGCTCTGTTAGACTCTGCATGTGTACTAAGCCTACTGATCACAGTGAGAGTGAGATCAAGACCATTGAACATCGTAGAACTAAGGTCTTTTTTTAATGTGTTAATTCTAAGAATGTTTCGCTAAGGCGGTAAATGGGTCTATTGTCTTCAATATACCGGATGTCTACGTAAAACTGCAACAAGCCTTATGGAACAATAGGACGTAAATCATTAAGTTTTGTGGTTATAAATATAAGTACTGTACTAAAAACTTTACTAAATTTATAGCTGTATTGTATAATTGCAGGTAAACCAGAATTTAGTTTTTTAACGTATTTTCTTATTTTTGATTTGATAATTATTAATTTGTTCTGTTTTTGTTTGTGTAAAACCCTATCTAAGTATGTTAATTTTAGCAGATAAACTTGGAGGTCTTGAACTGTATCTATCTTACCATTATTCATATTTAAATAAATTTTCATTGATAAATTTCGAATTCATCGCATAATTTATACCTTTTTGTTCTTTAAATATGCAATACAGAACGTTTAAAGCATAGTAGTCATTATACATATACGCATAGAATTGTAAAAAGTTTAATATAAAACCGAAGGAAATGTCGCGCGTTAGTTTTGTTAATTGTTCACCAATTGGCAACTACCACAGAATTGTGCAAAATTTCTAGTTTGATTTATTGAAACACACGACAGTTATCAAACACTTAAACGTCGTAATACCTAATTGTTTTACGTTAATAGTATCAACTTACCAGAGCTGCCACCAAAACCGCGTCACTGTCATGCCTCTCATTCTTCTCTCGACACATTTTGACTAGCCTTTCTACCCCCCCAAGCTCGACAACCTGTGTTGCGGCTTCCTTCTGTCCACATAACCTAGACAGAGCGATGATACTCTTCTGCTGAAGTCTCCTTTCCACGTCTTCCCCTACGAAGTTTGTTTTCAGGAAACAGAGCAACACTCCCGAAGCTTTGATGTTGGTGAGTTGCTTTCTAGCCAGGTCTATCGCGGACATGTTCGCTATTAAAGTCGCTACTTGTTCAAGGAGATAAATTGATGCTCTAGGTCCTTTAATCTTGACACCTTCTAACATTACTTTGGCCGTTTTAGCGTGGATCATATGCTTAATACTCTTTGGGTCCATGGTGCTGAGGTTTGCTAAAGCTGCCGCGCAGAGAAGAAGATTTTGGCAACATTTCGTGACAGCAGCGAACTTCGTCAAGGATTTTACCAGTTTCCTGGAGTAATCTTGTAAACCTTTGACGCAGTGGTTGTCTTCCAGCCAAGGCGCCGTTACTTGCGCTAGCAAAGCGACAGCTTCAGATCTCTCAGGCTCAGGTCTGCTGTCCTCTTCCAAGGTTTCTGCTATTATTTGCACGCCTGAGAACTTTTCGAGTTGCCTTACGGCAGAGGAGTTGCAGCACATAGTGGATAGGGCCCGCAGTATCAAACTTCTCATTGAAGAACCCTCGCATTTTTCGCAGAGGATCAAGAGAATCGGTATGACGTCCGCTTTAGTGAACATCTCTATTAGTTCTTCGTTGCGAAGAGCTAGAGAGGTGATTCCAGTGACGGTAGCGCGCAAGTCCAATTCAGAAGTGGGATTTTCTAATTTGTCCATCATCCTTTTCACTTCTCTGACTAGAATTTCTTGGTAGACGTTCTCCCATTCCGCATATAATGTGGGTACGACTTTAAGGGACTCGTCTGATTTGGCTAGGCGGATGTCGTCGCAAAGTTTTAGCATGTTAGGGCTGATGTCTCGAGTGTTGGTATTCAGAAAGTCTAATATGTTACCGACTAAGCTTTGGACTAAAGGTTCTATGTGTTTCTTTTCACTGAAAACAAACAAGAAATAGTTAATATCTTCCAATACATTTGCAATAACTCGGTTTAGCAATCTCTGTTTCCTTGGTACTTTTGTCTACAAAGTCTGCAAATCAAACTATTTTGCACCCTTTGCTTTTAAAGTCTTTCTTACCTATTAAGTTTCTTGTACTCCATCTCGATACATCTAGCATGAGAAAGTATGCCCCTTAGCGTCGTCGTCAGACAAGACGCCAGGTGGGACACTTTTTGGTTCAGCTCCCCTGCTATGGATTTGCACTGGAGGGTAGTCATGCATTCTTGCTCGTAGTTCTGTCTGGCTTCGTCCATCCACCTTTGTACGGCTTTGTTATCGACGTCGATGCCGTTCGAGGGGATAGGGGGAACTCTGCAATTGACAAAAAACTGGGTCAAAGGTCAGATATTTAAATTGGTGGGAACGCAAGTCTGACGATTCTACACTGTGGACTGTAAAAAATTACCTGCATATTCTAATAAGCCATTAATTGACTTTTATACAGGGTGTTTTATTATTAATGAAAAATTCCCGAAATGTTTTAATTAAATAAGTTTTAATCATATCATAAGTCGTCCCAAGCCATGTTTGGCTCAAACTTTATATTTTGACTACGAAAATTTTTTACATTTAATGCGTTCCTTTTTATCAACACTGTTTTATCAAAACATTATTGACTAAAATCCTATAAGGCTATAATACTTATAAGTGTCATATATCTTTCACCTCAGATCAAAATAATACTATTACTACTATTATCATTGGCATTTGTGTTGTAGGAACGTAATTGCTTATTCATTCAAATTCATTTGAATAAATGCATGTAAGAATTGCAGAAAATTCAAAATATTCGCGTTCGAGGAGTGTCAGTGACACTTAAAATGGTAATATCTGACTTATTCTTTCAATTTATATTATTTTATACAGTTTTATTATTCAAGTCGGTCCTTTTTCGCAAGAAAAAATAAATAAATGTAGAGCTGAAGAGGTGACATTTATTTAAAAATATTCGAATAAGTTTTAAATATACATATAAAAATTTTTGGCCATTACTAGATATCGGAGGAAGTTTGCAATGTGGTACAGGGTTGGCTCGAGGTCAGGTTCTCTTTTATATCATTTTTTCAAACAAAAATAACACAACCGTTACCTTCTTATAACTGTACATAAAAGTATGAAACAAAAAAGGGCGTCATTGTACAATAACATCTAGAGACTTGTCTGCCTATGATCTGAAGTTTCGCATCGATCAATTTATTCGATACGATAATGCTCGCCCTGTCGGCCTGGCGTGCCGATAACAATCCAGGTTTTTTTTCCTGAGGGACGTTGGTCGAGCATATCATTGTCCTTTGTACATGCGTAAGTTTAATGCTTTGCTTGGTCGAGTGTATGGCAATTGTTTTTATGGCAGTGAATAGCATTGTATATTGTGAGCATAGAGCTTTCCGATGACTAGTTATTACAGAATACCCTTTTTGCAGTGTTTTATCCGGTGCTGTGTGGTATTTATTTGTGGCATTTCGTTTGGAGTTTTTTTTAGTATTTTGCAGAAGTGTAAATTAAAAAAAATAACATACACTGCGAAATGTGTTTTTGTAGTAATATACGAAACATTCTGCTTTAATTCTCAAGACTATAGGAATAATGTTTCTTTTTCAGATATGTTTGGTAACTATATAAGATATCTTGATCTAAATTAGTCTATTTCACCACAGGAACTTTGACCCATTCATTTCCGAACACCCTATATATCTTCATTAGTGCTAATGTCGGTGAAAAAATTGTTGCAATCTGGCTATAATAAATAATATTCGTTCGACTTTTCTGAACCAGTTCCGTTTATGGAAAATAGTATTTTTTATCTGCGAAAAAATCATTAGTTTCTGTAAAAGTGATATCTCAATCATTTCCAAACTGTTATCTGGAATGGGTACCTTTTTCTGATTTTACAACTTTTATAATTGAATAAGTACTTAACTAGATTACACGCTCAGTGAGTAATGTTACTATCAGCAATAGTAAGTCCGCGAAAAGTGACTCAAAGAGATATTCGTTAATTCTCAAAACTTTGTGAAATCGGTGAAACGTTGTACCTAAATCAATTATCCAGACTGTATCCATTAAACTTCAGCCACAGATTGCCTGTTTGACAAACACATACACATATTCATAAACGCACTGCTGCTTATTGTCGAGTCATTAATTTGTTATCACGCTTGTTGTGAACAAAATAATTCATAAATGTTTACCAAATGATTCACATGTCTTACAGAGAAACGCCATTATGCAATTTTGCGATGCGTTTTTTTCTCAGGCTCGGCAGGACCGTTAACAAGTAACTGAATGCAACAATATAGTTCGTATAAGTTAATAAGCAGCTGTGCAGTGTGTTAACGATCGAAATTGTTAACGAGTATGTATGTACGGGGTTTCCCACTGAAAACCATAATTCCGATACCTAAATTTTCTTCTTCCCAAGCAATTAAGTACTGATGAGACACTATTTCATATTTCCTTAAATTAAGTTACATTTAAGTTCTTTGCCAGCCTGTAAAAAGTTTGTGTACTTACCTACATGAGATAAATGTTAAAGCAATTTTTTTATTTATGTAAAAGACGTAAACATAAAACTTTAACTATAAATAACTATTACTCATTATTGTTTACTCTATAGATTTTGTAATGGTTCCCTACACATTAAATTTGAATTCATAAAATGTTACTATGAGTAAAAAGATAGACTTCTCATTCTAAATGTTACAAAGAATGCCTTTGAATTCTACAAACTGGTTAAATATTATTTTGTAATTTTGTAAAATATTTTACCTTTTAAATAGATTCGTTAACTTTTTAACTGTTAAAACTAAAAGTGATAAAAAATAATGTTGAACGCATTTTCCCTATATTTCAATAACACTTAAAATAAAACTGACCAATTATACAGGGTTAGTCAAAAGTATGGAAACCCCCAAAAATCTCAGCGGAAAAACATTTTGGGGTAAATGGTGAGAATAAAAGTCTCAGTATTTTTCACGGCCATCCGATGTAACCTTGAGATCAAAGTCAAGGTTCAAAGTCATATCAAGATCAAGTCAGTGTTTTTTAATGGTGACCTTCCTTTTGGATCCTGGAAATAGAACGAATTATGCATCCGAATATGGCAATGACCCTGACCTCAAGGTCAGGGGACAACCTCAGTTCAAGGTCAAATGTGGATTTTTACTGTAATTTTGTATTTTTAACTACGGAATCAGAGGGAGTGGCAGTCCTTGAATAGATATCTGATGGTACTCCTTAGTGACCTTGATCTTGAGGTCAAAGTCGAAAGAACATGTCAAGGTCATATCGGTTTTTGGAGTAGCGACCTCTTATTTCGACGCTAGAAATAAGAGAGCGTAGAATTCTACATTTTCTCTTAAACGTGATTTTAAGGTCAATGGTCAAGGTCAATTTTTTAGTGGTCGCAGATGGTAGAGTTAGTCTATGAAATCCTAACTTTAAAACTGAAAGATAATACGGCCACTGAAGGCAAGAGTGGGGAATAATTCAGCCATTCAAGGCAAAATAGTTAGTTAAAGCAAGAGTGGGGAACGATTCTGCCATTGAAGGCATAGTTAAAAATAAAAAATTACAGTAAAAATCTTGACCTTGAACTGACCTTGAGGTCACTGTCAATATCATACTTGGATGCAGAATTTTCGGGGTCGAAAAGGAGGATCACCATTAAAAAAACGACTTGATATTGATATGACCTTGAACCTTGACCTCAAGGTCAAGCTTTTCATCGGATGCGCGGAGACTTTTGTCCTCACCATTTATCCCAAAAATGCTTTCCCGCCCAGATTTTTAGGGGTTTTCACTTTTGCTAACCGTGAATATAATTTCTTTTATAATACTTTGTACCTAAATTTTTCCGCCTTCCCTGGTATAGAAGTCAACAGCCGCCACTGCATACAACTGTTTTTAAAGGTGATTTACATTTTTTTTACAAATTTTTGTCTAATGTCCCACCAAAAATTATCGAAATTAAGTAAGGGAATGGATTTATTTGTTTTTATAGCTCTTTTTACTATTAGACTAATTATTATTAGTTGTCAGAATTGTAATTTTTTAACGTACTTACTATTATTGAACAGTATTCGTAAGAACTCGGAATAACATAATAATTTTCTGAATATTTTGAAATTCCAATATATTTTTTTAATTTCAACCTTTGGACATTTCAAATATTCAATGTGAAATTGTAAAAAAACAGCAATTTTCTTTTTCATCTTGATTAATTGATGATTAAAGGAGCAATAATTTTTTATAAAACTTTGACGATTCAGGAAAGGTGAACAGTTCGACCAATCGATTTCAAAACTTACAGAACTAAAAAAAACCCTACAAACATCGGTAGATCTCAAGATTTCAAGACTAGAATTTTCAAGCTTCAAGATGCCTCTTTTTTTTTCTTTATTACGACCATTATTCACGAAGTTACAGCCTTTCAAAAATCACTAAAAAAAATTTGGAAATTTTTCTGGTCCCTTAATTTTTTTGCAGATTTTAGAACGAGGTAGAATATGTAACCATCAGCATTTTATTTCCAAATTTTAACGTCACTAATTTAGATACTCGAGAATTAATGATTTAATAGCTGAAAATCCAAACGTCTGTTACTGATTGTGTTGATATCAGTTGTCAAATCGAAACTGACATTGAAGAAAAGGAACTTGTAACGACAATTGTGACTATCGCCCTCATTTTGACAGTATCCAAACTATAGAAATACGAAGGATTCCTTCAATTTTTCGGCATGAAAAGATGACGGATAATATAAAACATCAGAACATGTACATTTTCTGTTTTGTCCAAATGATTTATAAAACTACTCAATAATTCTTATTAATTCATATTATGTAAATAGTAGGTATCCTAAAAGCATTCTGCTGATTGTGACTATGTTTATAATACAGTACCAGTGTATCTGTATGTTCAACAGTCGTGTAAAGTTCAGGAAACGTAAGATAAAAAATATGCTTTTTTCCCTTACTTAAAATGTATTGTCAGTTGTCTCACACCCTAAAGAAAACTTGTAAGAGTAGTACAGTGAAGAGATATCGTTTCTAACTTGCTTAGATTTTTTAAACAATTGGACAAAAAATTCATTGAAAATTGCGCATAAAAACGCCCGTCTTAACAAAATATACGGGGCTCTTCTAGTTTATTATCAGTATTCGTACTTTCCCAAAACATTTGTTTTATTCCACTGAATGAATCGTGAACAATTTGTTAGTTTTTTTAGTGTGAGATATTTGTTTTCGGACGAGAATTTTTCTTTGGAGTGTGCAATTAATAAAGGAAAGTATTAAAAAATAATCTTACACCTACAACAAATAAATAAGTTTACCTTTCTTGGTGGTACTTGAGGCACAAGTTCAAGGAAAGTTTATCTCGTCTCTGGCACATCTTGGTGCCGGGTCCAGCTTTGGGCGTCGAGGTGTGCTTGGGAGAGTCCGCACCGTTGAAGAGACATTCTAGTTCACTCTCACAGTCACTAGAGAGGGAGTTACTGAAACCGGCGCCATACTCGTCCTCCTTAAAATTTCCCAACACTGCCGGTGCCGAAGTGTCCAGTTCCACCGGAACCTTTCCCGCACTGATCAAGGGCAAAGTACGAACCCTGACGTTCTCGAAACTCTCGTCGACGGTATTACTAGAACGCCATGAGTAGCTGTCATCAACTGCGTCTTCTTCACTGGTGTTAAGAAACGTTGAATGTGTTGTTTCTCTGGCGTGCTCCCTGGAATACTGATGAGCCTCAATCGCGTTCTTGCATTCTTTTTGTTTCGAGTTGAATAAATTTCTGCTAACTTTGGGGGAATTTTTGGTGAATCTGTGCTTCCGCGCTGGGACGGTGTTACTGGGCGCCGGATCCTGAGTTTTTTTCGGGGTGGCTTTCACTTCGGACTTTACCAGTCTTTCTTGCGTTATTTTCACTTTCTCTGGGGTGGTTTTCTCTTTGTAATTCGTCGACAGGTTCTCTTTCGCCTGCTCGGAGGTGAGTTCCTTGAATATGTCCTTTGGTATCCTTTGGGCTGGGGATGACTTCTTGGGGGTGTCGGAGGAGTTTTTGTTGTTGTTGGCGTGGAGGTGGGGGGAGGTTTCGGTGTCGGAAAATCCGGAGTCTTGGCTTCCGGGGCTGGCGGAAATTTCGCGCCACTCCAGGCTGTCGTTACCCCACCACACTTTGCTGGGGCTACGCTTGAAGCCGCTCATTAGGTTTGTTTGTTCCTGAAAAGAAGAAAAAGGTGTTAGGAGCTGCAGATTCAAGCAATTACGTTGTAAACAATATCAGGTTATCTTTTGTTTTTTTTTGCATAGCTCTCTAAACGTTTTTTTAATTAAATTAATTAACTGTTGATAAATTTTGTTGAATTTTTTACTATTAAAGTACTGTTACAAGTGGATAAAAACGAACATGATATTACTGTTCAACCTACATTCGGAACCTTGAGTATAATCGGTATTTCACACTATCTAACGATGCTGCATGCTGCACCATTTTTTCCCCTGCCAATTTTCTGCCGATTATTATTCCGTTATAGGCATATGAATCCACTTATAACTATTACATGTTATCGTTATAGTTGTTTATGTTTAAAATTGGCGAACCGTGAAAATGGTCTCTTCGTTTCTGTAAAGTCGGTTGGCTCAAAACTATAATATCCCATAAAATAGGCAATAAAAGGACGAGACCATCATAGCAAATAATTTTTAATAATAATAATAATAATAATAATAATAATAATAATAATAATAATAATAATAATAATAATAACAATAATAATAATAATAATAATAATAATAATAATAATAATAATAATAATAATAATAATAATAATAATAATAATAATAATAATGTGCCTTTATTAGATTACCAACAATAAATAAAAGGAATATTATTAGAGGATTATTGCTCTACCACCTAACCACTCCCTTACAATGCAGATCTATGTTAAGTTGGCAACATAAGATTTGTCCTGTTTTTTCAAAACTTGACAACCAGAAGCAGAATGGCAGATGGGAGCTTATTAACAATTTTAACGGCATTATAACTAAATGACTTTTGAAATTGAGCAGTACGATGACGTGGGAGTGTACATATACGAAATCTGGTGAGCCGTTCATGCCGCCCTTTGACAAGTTTATTGAAAATATATTTAGGAGAACCCGTTTTATTAATTTTATAGTCAAGAGCCGCCATGTGAACGCTCATTAAGTTTTAACCACTTGGATTGCTCATACTTGTCACTTACATGATCAAATCTAATACACTAAACAAATCTTAAGCAAGCATTTTGTAGCTTGTGGAGACTTTCCTTGTCCCGATTTAATATAGCAGGCTAATAAACTACGTCACAATAGGCTAGTACTAATGTATCAAATGCCTTACTATAGTCAAGAAGCACCAATTTTTGTGTTGATTCCTGGCTCTAAACAGTTCATCAGTAACATCTAATAGAGCAGTAGTTGTAGATTGAGTTGCTGGCAAAATATTGTTGTTATTATTTAAAAAATTGGAAAGTTGTTCATGAACTATCTTTTCAAGAATTTTGGAAAGCGTAGGAAAAATCCTTGTCGGTCTAAAATTAGAAATATTGTTAGGACCATTATTTTTAGGCACCGGAATGACAAGTGTTTCTTTCCAGACGTCAGGGAAGGTTAAACAGATATTAATAAAGAAAGTTATATAACAACTGAGATGCGGAAGCAGCAACGTGAGCATTTTTAAGTCAATTCCGTCACACCCCTTAGCATTTGAGTTGATTTTAGCGTATACTTTTTCTACAATACCGATATCACCTCTGAAAATTAAAAAAAGGTTTATTAAACAAACAGAGACAGACCAATAAAAGTTTAATTCAAAAATTGGGCAATATCATCTACATATGCAAGATTATAAATTAAATCAAAATTAATATTTCCAAGATCGTACACAAATAAATCATAATTAAAATTAGAAAAGTCCCTGAAGGTACGGAATAGTAAAGGTTGCTTAACTTTGTCTTCAAATTACATTTTTCTCTCGCTTTTAGTTCAAACGAAAACAGTCATAATTTCCATAATTTAAATAAGGTACTCATACTTTTTTTTGCTTATTTCGATTCAGAATAGGTACATTTTGATTAAAAAATAAAAATTTTTGTTTTGAAAACTTTCTTCGTTACAGCATGTTGTTCACCCATGTGCTCAGGGTGGGTGAGATATAACCTAAAAGGTACGCCTCATTTGAATAACGTCGCTGCTAGTCTAGTAGTAGTATTCTTTCCAGCATTAAAAAACTCCCTCAATATCTAGTACCTAGCTAAGACCATTCGTCAACAGAATCACCCGATAAACGGAACCGTAGTACGCAGAGTAGTTCTTCCAGACAGTATAACTGGCTTTATATTTCACTCGTGTCCAGTATGATGTCGCTAATACTAATTCAAAATGTATTATGGGGATGATTCAATTGTTTGGGTCCCCTGGTACATCGACTGGATGTTTTTATGTATTTATCGCGGTTGCTTTGAATTTATGTAGAAATTTACACGGCAATTCCGCAGGTCGTTACAGGTGAATAAACAATGTCACTTATAAATTCAAGCTTTACTGTTAAGAAATGGTGATTTAAGTAACGCTTAAGCACCAATGTCGGCTGATAAAGATTGGATTAGTAGTATTTTTATAAAGAAAGGAAGACAATATTTAAATTTTAATGCCATGTTAATAACATATTTTCCAAAATTCATAATGCTGTAACTTTTAAAAAAAATGAAAACTTTGCTAAAAATAAAAAAACACCCGATTGGTTATGGAAAAAATATATTTTGCAATAATAATGGATATTGTATGACAAAATATTAGTTGTCAATTTAATTAAATAATTTTATACCCTATCCTTAACCTACTGATGCTGTAGTTTTAAATAATTCATCTCTTTTGTTTGTCTAAATCTGGTACACTAAAAGACAAACATATTTTCATTTTCCGTATTTAACTAATATACACAACATTTCGTCCAGCATTTAGAACAGAAAATCTAATCAAAATATACAAGCTATAGTTATTCCGTTACCCAAAATTCTCATAAAATTAGATAAAAGCTCTAATGTGATTTAATTACAGGTATTTAAATATCCGTTTTATATAAATATGCAGCAACAGTAAAAAATATATACTTGCCAGAAGTCATCCTACTAAACTAGTAATGAACTGAATTAATTGTAACTGTTGTTGTTCTAATGATACCTTATATGTGTTACATAGTCATCAAGAGGATCCGTAGATCATGGTTAAAATACCTACCAATTTTTTATGGTAGGTACGAAAACTTTAAGCAATTATATAAATCAGTTAAGCACTGTTGGTTTCTAATATTTCTAAGTTGGCTGATGAATTTAAATTATTCCGTTATTCACATCCTTGTGCAAAATAAATTATTATTAGCCTTCGCAAAGATAATGATTCTGTATTTAATAGTATATAATTTTTCTCTTCTTTTCACTTTCTTCACTAAGCTATTGTTGTTCTCGGGCAACGCTCTGTGGGGGGAGGGGGAGGGGGCGTCAACTATTGCCTATATTTAACTGTCATTAGTCCAAGTCTCATCAAACATCTTCAGAGATATTTGAGGAAACGTAATATTATTTTTAAACTCATATCTACAAAATCGGTTACTTTAGGCACTTGATTTATTAAAGCTTTTTGATACAACATGATCCAAGGTGCGGTTTGGCATGGATTTTGGAAACACTCTGAAAATATTAACTTTACTAATTATTGCGTAATTAAGTATGTTTAAAAAATTAACATTAACTTACAGTTATGATTATTGTAAAAATCTTTTGGACACTCCACAGGCCATATTTTTAGGTTAGCATCTAATCAACAATCGAGTTTAATTTCGAGTTAAATTTTTATTTCAGATTACCACCAGATTAACCACGCACCGTTAAGAGTTAATTCAACTATTGTATAGTTATACCGCGGAATACATTACAGTAATTAACAATAGAGTCCGGCGTCTTTTTTCCAACTCAGCTTGTAGCCGTACCACACAATGAATTTTCTAACAACGGCGTAGATCAGTGAACCCTTCGAGGTAATTTAGAAACTAATCCAAAGCAAATAAAGGAGTCGCAGCACGAGACAAAATGACGTCTTCTCAACTCCTTCTAATGGAAAACTATACTGTCTTATCTGCATCAAAGATTTTTTTATTCATATTTAAATAATCTCGGGACAGCTGTGGGTTTCGCCAACGGTTGCGGGCAACAGACTCCTTTATCTTCCTCCCCCTTGCAATATAAATATTTGTCGGGTTCTGCGTGTGCCGTATGTAGAGATATTCGAGATGATTCGCTCCAACGGTTTTCTTTTGTAGTCGCGTAAACACAATAATGATAAATTGTACAGTTGATACACAACGTGGATCTAGATACCATGACCACCTAGATGTCCAGACTTAAACCCCTGTGATATTTGTTTACGGGGTCACTTGGAGTAACAGTGCGCGAAGTTGATATAACTACTAGGCACAAATTAGTACAAAGAAACCAAGATAGCGCAACCTTTGTCAGAATTAATAGATTAATAGCAATTTTTGTACAGGAAAGTCTGATTATTCGTTGCATTTAAATATCCATATTAGGAGGTTGCTCACAGATCATCTGTTCATAACAATAATTTAAAAGAAAACAAATAGTTCTCATCCCTCTTAAACTTATTTTACATTTATGAGTTTTTGGCCCATCAAATTGCTCAAAAAATTGGCCCAATTATATTGTGTGTTTAGTTAGCATCAAGATCGATTTTTATTCTAAAAGTTGGTAGTCTTAAATTTGCCCAATAAACTGACTAATTAATATTTCAATTACATTAGCCAATTTATTGTAACATAAAAAAATGCGTGTCAACGATTGTTATATGTGAAATATGTTTTGTTCTCTCGAAATATATCTTAAATTTTCTTTAGTACATGTAAACAACCTATACAGGGTGTAATAAAAATGTTTGACCGTAGATCGATTCTGCATTATAAATTAACATGTTCCTATAAATATGTATACGAAGATGTTTCATTTTAGAGATAAAGAGTGTTTAAAATTAATAAAAATACTTCGTTTGTCTAAAATTGCAAAAAGAAAACACATAAATAATGTTCTTCTTCATAGATAACGCGATTGATTGAATTATTATTATCATTATTTCAACAATATCTTAATGTCATGAGACTAAAGAATAAT